GAAGCCCTGCAAGCACTCACAGAGAGCAACCCTGGCCCGCGGCTCCCTGATGGGCCATAAATTTCTCCGAAGAATTGTGGCGTGCTAAAAAGTTTCCTCTTGTTAGAGAGCGGGGGGTGAGGGGAGGAGGCAGCAGCTCCTGCTGCAGCTCCTGTGGCAGCGTGGACATCTCCAAGGTGCCCCAAATGGGTGTCCAATGGCAGGGATTGGTATTTGCCCAGGTCCTGTGTGCCCCCAGTGCTGGGCATCTCACGTGGACTCTGCTCACCCCTCTCCCACAGTTTGTGCCCCTCTTCCCTCAGATGAAAGACAGCTCAGCAGAGCTGGGACTCCACAAGTGGAAATGAACCAAGGATGCACAGATGCTGCAAGTCCTCTCCTTGCACACCATGGGGGCTTCTTCCACCTGGGAGACCCACTGCAGGATCTGGTCTTCCAGCTTCCCACCCCCTGCAAACGGTGACGGGGGTCTGTGCCAGCGCCAGGGTGCCCTGTGACACTGCTCCAAGGGCTCACTGGTACCAGGACCAGACACTGCGTCCAAGGTTCTGTGTGAGCATCTCCAGGCCTGACTGGTGCATCCCCGGTGCTGGCATGGTGTGGGCAGCGGGAGCTGGTCCACAGCTGGCGCTGATGGTGCCACAACCCCCTGGCTGGCATGGGAGTGGGGTTTGCCAGAGCCTGCGATCCCTGCATTGCCTCCTTCCGTCCATCCTCCACCTGTCCCCCTTCCCTCTGCCTGACCCGCGGGGTCTCCGGTGTCGCCGGCTGACAGCCGATCCGGCTGCTTCCAATCCATTCGTTCCAGGGCAGGAACAAAGGCGCTTTGTGGGCTCCCCCCAGCCCAGGACGGGTGGGGGGGGTCCCGGCTCCGGAACTGGGACAGACTTCCCCGCACGACAGGCGTGTAATGCTTTCCAGACCGGCAGCCCTGACCCACAGGTACAGCCCGGGGGTGGAGGGGGCTTGGTGCTTCCCACACTGCCTGGGAACCCACCGGGTCACCCTGACACAGCCCTGATACTGGAAAATAGGAAAACACTCCTGCTCCTCCAAAGGTTTCACAAGGCCTGGCCCCCATGAGACTCTGACTGCTCCTCCCCACCCAGGGGGGCTCCAGGGGTTCCCAGGTTTACCAGCCCTGGTCTCCCAGTGTTAGGGAGCAGGGATAGGCTCCCCTGGAATGACACCCCAGCCCTGCTGGGCTCAACGTGGGGTAGGAGGCACCTGGACTCAGAGGATGCGTGTGCCCAGCAGGGATGGGGCAGCTCCTGAGCCCATGGCCTCACTGGCCTGAGAACCCCAAAATTGGAGAGCCACAGGCAGAGGGGCCAGTTCTGGACATCCCCCAACACCAGGGACTGGTCAGGGGCTACAGGCAAGTGGGGCCAGGCAGTCCCTTAGGGGACTCAGTGGAATGGGGTGGGATGGGGAGGGATATGATGGGATGGATGGCATGTGATGTGGTAGGATGGGATATGACTGGACAGGGTGGAGTGGGATGGGATAGATGTGATATGGTGGGATGGGATGGGATGGGGTGGGGTGGGGTTGGACCAGTCAGTCTAGAACTTCTTCACTGGGGCTCAGCAGGGTCAGACCCGATGTCCTGGTGGCCACATGTTCCATCAGTGCCGCAGGTCTGGAATCCATTTGCCTCGCCGGCCGTGGTGTTTTCCCAGCAGGCCCAGAGTGGCCCCACAGGGCTGGGGGCAGCCCTGGCCCCTGGCCCATCTGCTCCCTGTTTATTTTCTTACACTTAAGTATCACCTCAAAGATAAACACTCCCTGGAGTGGGGGCAGGGGGCATTTTTCTGGCAGTGGAGGCAGGACCCAGCCCTTGGGGTGCCCAGCACCCCAACCCCTTGATGCCCCCCAGCTTGGGAGGGCCTGGTTGGACTAGGGTCAGGGTTGCAACCCCATGCTCAGGCCATGTCCCCTCCATGGCATATGTCCCACACAGGATCCTGTGCATGCCTGACCCACTGCCCAATGCTACCCTCTGCCCGGGGGTCAGCTTGTTTGGCTGGATCAGCCAGGAGCGCTGCGATGCCAAACCCCACCGTGTCCTGGCACCCGCTCAAGCCGGCGGAAGGTTTGTGATTCCGCAGCCTCGGCTGAGCCTCGTGCTGCCTGGCTGAGTCAGAGCCGAGGCTGCAGTGCTGGGGGGGCCAAGGGGGTCCAGGCATGGGGATGCACGTCCTGTACCACATGCCTGCCAGGCAGCACAGGAAAACACGGCCACTGCTATGCATCCTCCGTGCAGCATTCACGGGCAGCTGGATAGGCAGGGAGCAGGCAGCATTCCCTGCTTCCCATGGCTCCTGTTGGTCTCTCAGCCAGGGCTGACAGCTCCTTCTGTCCATCCATCCCCCCTGTGCAGGGTCTGGTGAGGTGGTGGTCACACGTGTGTGCCAACCTGGGGAGATCATTGCAGCAGGAGGTGGTGGCACTCGGGGTCTACATGGCACCCTGCACACGCATCCTCACGCACATGTACACACGTGTGTGACACTCTGCAAACACGTGCACACACCCTCATAGTCATGTATATCCACACACAGACACACACGATTATACACATCATGCACACGTGCCCACACACTCCTGGATGCACAGATGTGCACAGCTGCTCACCCACACACACGCACGCATGTGCAACCCCTGCCCCTCGCTGAGCCATCTCCAGTGCCTGCTGCTCCTTCCCTGCCTGTGCCCCACCATGTCCCAGATCCCAGCGCAGCAGCACAGGCCACCAGCACCCCACACACGGCTGTGCCCCCCAGAAAAGCCCTGGGGCAGCTCGGCTGAGAGCAGGGACTGGGTGACACCCCCCACCCCAACCTGTCTGTGTCAGCTGGTGGCCATGTGTGGGGTGTGCAGCTGAGTACACAGCCCCTGCCATCCGTCTTGCTGCCTGTCAGGGCCAGGGGTGGCTGTGGCCCCCCCAGCACAGCCTAGCAGGATGTGGGGGTGGGAGGGGGGCAGAGCAGAGATTCCCCTCTCTGCACAGGCACCTGCCTGCTCCGTGCCTGTCATGCCAGGGGCTTGCCCATCCCCACCTCCACCCCTGGCACTGCCTGCACATGCCCTTTTACAGGGCTCTGTGCCTGGGCGGGGCCTACAGAAGAGGGTCAGTGTCCTTCATGCATGGTGAAAGGTGTCAGTGTGGACACAGAGCAGACCCCTCCATGACCCCAGCTCCAGCAAGATCCCTGGCCCTTAGCACAGCCTCGTATGTCCCCAACCCTAGTGGGAACCCCGTTCCCTGGTGCAGCCCTGCATGACCCCAGCAGGACCCCCAGCTTGGCTCTCTGCTCCCCTCACTGTGTGATTTACAGGCTCTGCACAGGCAGACAAATGGTGAAGGAAAACAGGGCAGGGGGGTCCCGCCGGCCGGGGGCTGCCTGTGCCCCGCAGGGGGCAGAGGGGCCGTTTGCTCACAGCTGGCGGGAAGGGAGGCAGTGAAGTGGTACCAGTACCAGGCAGCACATCTGCCGCTGCCATGGTCAAGCAGCCACAAGCCCTGGCACCACCAGGAGAGCCCCATGGGGAGCCCAGCAGCCAGGAGGGCATTGTGGGACATGATGCCACCCCATCCCACAGCCTCCAGCCCCCCCCACTGACCACCTTGCTGTGGGCTTTGCAACATGCCTGCTTCGTTCTGCGGCCACTGTCCCAGCCCTGGCAAGCCTCCAAGACTTCTACTGGCATCTCCCTCTGGCTATGGGGCTGCCAGACAGTGGAGACTGCAGATGGCACTGCCAAGTCCCCAGGCCATATCCCTGTCAGCCCTGGGGCCATCCACCAGGATCCAGGTCCTGCCCTCCATGCGTCTTTGCTGCTTGACCTGCCATGCCCGGAGCATCGTGGAGGAGGAGGAAGAAGGGGAGGAAGGCAGGTAGGAAGCCTCCTGCCCACTTGGCTCAGCTGGCTGCCTCCCTGACTGCTCCAGGGGGTGCTGGGCTTGGGGCTGGGGGGTTGAAGGAAGAATGGGACCCACACAGACCTCCTTGGTGAGGATGAGCAGGAGTGACCATCATCTGTGGTACTGAGTGCTCAGGAATGACCAGGAACCACTCTCAAGCTGGGGGACATCCCCAGCCCTCCGCAGGACACCGGTGATTGCTGCTGCTGCCAGCTCATCTCTCCCCTTTCAGGAAAAGACTCTGTGTTTCCACTGCCGGTGCACACCTTCCTCCCGGGCGGGAGGAAACGCTCCTGGCAGTGCTGCCGGCAGTGCTTCCCAACCCTCTCAGTGTCCCCCTCCAGTCTCCTCCCATGGCGAGCAGGTGGGGTGCCAGGCCCTGGGAACAGGGGGGGCAAGGGGTGCATTCCTCCAGGGCTGCACCCTCACCACTCCCTGCCTGCCCTGGACATCCTCCTGGGCACAGACCCTGTCCCTGTGGGGCACAGCAGGGTGTGGGGCACAGCAGGGTGTGGGGAACAGCATGTCCCCCACTGGCAACCCCTCTGTTAAACACCCCCAGTACCTGCTCCCAAGTACCTGCCCTATCTCAGCTTCTGCACCCCGTGTTTGCCCAGTGCCACCCTGCATGAGGCCCAGAGTTGGCAGGGGACAGCTGGGCAGGGGCTGGGGACACGCTGCCCGAGAGCTGTGGGCATCGCTCCATAGGTGCCAGAGGCCATGGCACAGGGAGTACTTGCCAAGTGGTGGCCCTGGCACTGCCACAGTTCAATACCACCATGGGCATGACCCAAAGCCTGGCCCTGGGGTCAAGGTGCCCGTGGGCAAGCCAGCGTGCCAGAGCGGGGCCAGGCCGGTGGCCAGAGCCAGCGCTGGCTCTCGGGGCTGGGGCGAGGACGCTGGCCGCTGGCCACTGGCCGCTGGCCGGAGCTCGGGGGGCCGGCTGGGGGTGGGCTCCAGAGCCAGCCCCTCCCCGGCCGTATAAATCCCGATTCCCCCCGCAGACAGTCGTCCCAGCCCTGCTCGGCTGCCGCAGCGGAGCGGCAGCGGGAAGGCGTCCGGAGCCGGCCGTCGCGGCTGTGCCGGCGGGGGAAGGCTCCCCGCAGCCCGGGGGGTTCCCCCAGCAGGGGCGGGGGCGCGGGCGGGCACCCCGCCATGGCCTTCACCATGCTGCGCCCCGTGGCTGCCCGTGTGCTCTACCCCGACCTCAGCATCCTCTCGGAGGACGAAGAGAACCGGAGCGAGAGCGACACGTCGGACCAGTCGTTCGGCTGCTGCGAGGGGGCCGAGGCTCGCCGCAAGCTGCCGCGGAAGCCGGGGCCGATGGTGATGGTGAAGCAGAGGCAGGCGGCCAACGCGCGGGAGCGGGACCGGACCCAGAGCGTCAACACGGCCTTCACCGCCCTGCGGACCCTCATCCCCACCGAGCCAGTGGATCGGAAGCTGTCCAAGATCGAGACCCTCCGCCTGGCCTCCAGCTACATCTCCCACCTGGCCAACGTGCTGCTGCTGGGCGAGGGCTGCGAGGACGGGCAGCCCTGCTTCAGTGCCATCTACGGCTCCAAGGGCGATCTGGACAGCAAACAGCCCCGCAGCATCTGCACCTTCTGCCTCAGCAACCAGCGGAAAGGGGTGAGCGGGGCACTGGGCTGGGGGGCCCTGGCCTGAGCGGGGCAGGAGGCTCAGCACATCCCCAGGGGACAGGGGGCAGCAGACCCTGCCTGGGCCGAGCAGGGCAGGAGCCTCGGCATGGCTCAGTGAGAACTGTAGCCTTTGGCTCCAACTCCCACTGGAGGTTTTGGCTGCTCCCGGCCAAATCCTGCTCGTAGCCGCACGCCCACAGCTCCAGCTCGCGTCAGAGGGCCGGGCTGCTCCCCCACGTCCATCCGGGCTGGGAGGTCTCGGGGGCTGAACAGTCACCCCAGAGCTGGAGGCAACTGGCTGTCCCTGGGGAAGCTCAAAGCTCACACACTGACCCCATCCCCATCCTCATCTCTATTCCCATCTCCATCCCCAACCCTGCCAGCTCACCGACACCGTGGCAGGGCTGCCCCCAGCAGCTCCCTGATGTGATGGGGACAGGCAGAGCTCCCCATCCAGTGTCCCCATGCAGGATTTGTCACCAGCACTGGCACAGCTTCCACACAGTCGGGTGGCTGAGCTGGGGCTTGGCACAGCACCCCTGCCCTACCCTGCCTGGCCAGCTGACACCCCCAGCACCCTGTGGCTCAGGGGGCACCTTTCCCATGGTGAGTCCATCCTGCTGCCCACACCTGGGTCCTGGGTGCCCTTGACCAGGGTGGGCTGCACAGGGTGAGGGCCTGGCAGCTGCTTCTTTCCATGGGCATCCCTCGGCAGGGCTGTGAGCAGGGATCTGCCTCTGTCCCCACAGACCCTCAAGCTGTCCCACATGTAACCCCAAGCAGCTCAGCCACAGGTCACACTCCAACCCTTGGGCCTTTTTCAGTTTCTGCTGCTCTATCTTTAATTGCTCCCCTGCTCCTGCCGCCCCCTCAGCAGCTTCTCCAGCCCTCCTGGGAGTCCTCTGGCCCGACCCGACCTGGTAGAGCTGCCCCTAGCTGGGACCTTCCAGCCAGGGCTGAGCTGTGACCCTGGGCTGCTCCTCAGGACTGGAACCTGGGGGCTGGCATGGTGCTGGACACCCAGGGGATGCTGCAGAGGCACTGGGGCCCGGGATCCTCTCTGGCACCCAGAACTCTGGGGGGCAATGGCAGGAGCTGGGCTGAGATCCAGCTCTGTGCCTCCCAGCTCTGGGGCTGGGCTGGAAATGGGCTCTGCTGGGCTGGAAATGGGCTGGGCCAGGCTAGGCTGGGCTGGAAATGGGCTATACTGGGCTGGAAATGGGCTGGGCCAGGCTAGGCTGGGCTGGAAATGGGCTATATTGGGCTGGAAATGGGCTGGGCTGGAAATGGGCTGTACTGGGCCATGCTGGGCTGTGCTAGGCTGGAAATGGCCTGGGCTGGAACTGAGCTCTGCTGGGCTCTGCTGAGCTGTGCTGGATTATACTGGAATGTTCTGGGCTAAATCTGGGCTATGCAGGTCTGTGCTGTGTTATACTGGGCAGTACTGGGCTGAAGTTGTGCTGGTGCACTGGGAGGTGGGGCTGAGCCTCCTCATCCCAGTCTGGACTGTGGGTCTGCCTGGGGCTGTGGGTCTGTCCTGGGGTGGCACTGGTCCTGACCACACGTCCTGAGCAGCCATTAGGGCTGTGTCCTGCAGGGTGACAAGGCCATGGGGACCCACCTTAGGGGGCTCCACCACAGCACCCACCTCCCAGTCACCCAGCCAGCCACTCACCAGGTGTAGCCCCATCTGTCTTGTCTATCTGTCTGTCTGTGCATCCCAGGCAGCACTGAGCTGCCCCAGGAAAGCAGAACTGGCCGTCTCAGAGTGGGTCCCCATGGATGACTTGGTGGGATGAACAGTGGGCAGGAGCGGGGTGCCCACTCCTGGACACCCCACGATACCTGAAGCTCTCTCTTCTCTCTCTGCAGGGCGGTCGAAGGGATCTTGGGGGCAACTGCCTGAAAGTGCGAGGGGTCACCCCCCTGCGAGTGTCACGGAGATGAGCCGGGGTCCGGCAGCACCCGCCTGAGACAGCGGCAGAGCCGGCCGGAGCCCGCACACACCAGCCCAGAGACCGCAGCGGGGAGGGAGGGAGCTGAGCCCAGGCTGGCACCACACCGACACCGGCCCTGGAGCTGGCAGTGGGGTGGGAGGACGCTCCCATGGCCGAGGCTGCCCGCGTGGGGCAGGGCCGGGGAGGGGGGTCCCTGCGCCCTGGGGCTGGACTGGAAGGGGCCCGTGCGTGGCCGGCGTCGAGGCGCTCCAGGGGGACGGTGTCGCGGCCCTGGGGACGCTGGTTGTGCACGTGCAGCCGCTTGGAAAATAAAACCTTATTTTTCTGATGGGCCGGTGCCTGCCTGCTCCCCCAGCGTGGGGCAAGGTGGGGGTCCCCAGGATGGCCCTGGATCCCCAGCCCTGTACTGCCGCTGCTCTGTGCCGCTGGAGCCAGTGCGACTGTCCCAGCTCTACCCACAGTTGCACTCCTGGGCCACAGTGGGATCCATGTGGGGTGAGACCCTTAGGGCACAGGTTGACCCCACATCCCCAGGCTCTGATGACAGCTCTGGCCCTGTAAAGGCTGTGGAAGGCCCAGCACAGGCAGTGCTGTGCCACAGGACGAGGACAGCACTGCCAATCCTGTGCTGCAGCCACGAGCACCCGGGTGGTGGGTCGGGGTTGGTGTCGCTGCTTTTGTGCCTTTCCCTCCACCTGGTACATCATGAACAGTGCAATGTCACCATCACCCTGACTGCCAGCACTGCCACCAACACCATGACTGCCACCAGCACCACAACTCTCCCCACTTCAACCGCCACCGCCGCCATGACTGCCTGCTGGCACACCGGCCACGCAGAGCCGTGCGTGGCGGGGCTGCAGGCAGCAGCACCTGCACGGGGTCAGGTGGGGACACTGGGGGTTCCCAGGCCGGAGCCCCCCACGGGATTCTGCTCGAAGGGGCCGGGCTGACTGGGCGGCGTGCAGTGCCGAGCCTGGGAAAGGTGCCGTGCTGGGGCTGGCGGCTCCCAGGGGCCGGCGTGTCCCGCGGAGCAGAGGCAGCTGTGGATGGGGTGGCTGGGGGCTCCCCTCAAGGGCTGAAGAACCGGAGCTGCCCCATCTCCCTGGGGTCCTGGAGCCAGCACGGAGCAGGGAAAGCGTGTTGGGGGTCCTGCTGGAGCCTGCCCTGGGCAGGGGGCTCCATTGGGAGCCCACAGCACCTCTCGGTCTGCTGCTCACGGAGGTGAGCCTGCCCCGGGCTCCCTCCCCCGGGTTTGATTTATGGAGCTGACAGCGCAGTGCAGCTGTGAGAGCTGGTCCCAGGCAGGGACCGGGGTGGGTGGGAGAGGTTTGTTCTCAGCGTGGCTAATGTGTCCCAGACCCCAATAAACAGCCGTGAGATTCTCCAAACAGCCCAGGACACAGAATCCCTGCCCCTGGGTTTATCGGGGGGCAGGAGCAGCAGGGGGGGTGTGCTCTGCAAACAGCCCGACCTGCACATGAAAGGGGACCGTCCTCATGAAGCGGTGGCTCCAGAGCTCCCCGAGGGGCCAGCAAGGGATGGTGGTCCCAGTGCTGGGGGCACAGCAGGTCCCAGCACTGAGTGCACTGGTCCCAGTGTGTCCCAACCGCTGGGTTGTGTTTCCCAGGGCTGAGCACCAGTGTTCCAGTGCCAGCAACTAGAGCTCCAGCAAGCTCCAGTATGAAGACCATGAGTCTCAGTGAGTCCCAGCACAGGAGCTGTGCATCCAGTATGTCCCAGTGCCAGGGACTGGGGCCCTAGCAAGCCGCAGTATAAAGGCCATGCATCCCAGTATGTCCCAGTGCTGAGACTGTGGAATTCAGCGTGTCCCAGTATGGCAGACGTGGATCCCAATACACCCAGTGCCAGGGATTAGGGCCCCAGCAAGTTCCAGTCTGATAGCCCTGGGTCCCAGTATGTCCGAGCATGGGAGTTACGCACCCAGTAACTCCCAGTGCTGGGACTGTGGATTCCAGCACGTCCCAGTGCTGGGGCTACAGATCCCAGCATATCTCAGCACTGAGGCCACAGGTCCCAGTGTGCCCCAGTGCCAAACCCCCAGGTCCCAGTGCATTCCAGCCCCTCCCAGCACCACAAGAGGGAAACGGTGACTCAGAGGCGCTGGAGCTTGCTGGGCTGGTGGGAGCCGGGCGCCCCTTTGCCCCGTGTGGGGTGAGTACTCTGGCCATGGCCACCGATCGCCCGCGGCCGCCGCAGCCCCACGCCGAACCCAACCGCGCTGCCTCTCGCTCCCCTCCCATCCTCTCCCCTTCCTGCGTGCGGACACCCTTGGAAAGGCTCTTGGCCGCTTTCTCTGAGACAGGAAGGTGTCCCCGAGTCTCAGGAAGGAAAAACACTCAGTGCTGAACCCACAAAGACCGTCTCTGAGGGGCCAGGGCTGGAGAGGCTCCAGGCCTGACATCACCTGGGAACTGGAACCAGAACCGCAGCTGCACTCCGCGCCTGGTATTTTTTTCTTTAACTTGTGTTTTTAAACTTTCTTTTTATAGATTTTTATTTTATTATTTTTTTTTCTCCTTTCCCTTCTCCATTCCCCTCCCAAATATTTCAGGCTCTCCGCAGGCTGGCCAGCCAGGCTGGAATGCAGCAGGGCTGCACCCGTGGGTGCCGAGAGCTGTTGAGCTGATGGGATGGATGAGGCCATGTCTGGCCAGGCAGGAGCTGCTGGAGTCACGGGCTCACCCCCCAGTGATGGGGGGCCAGGACCTGATAGCCCCCAGCACCAGTGCTGGTGGAAAGGGATCTGCGGCCACACAGGGACCCGGGGGGATCCATCTGACCATGGGGTGTGGGAGGATGGAGGGCAGAGGGGTTGGGCAGAGCCTGCAGACAGTGGGCAGTGCTGCTCTCCTCACCCACCACCCCCAGGATGCTGCAGTGGGGTTAAGTCATGTCCGAGCCTGAGCCTGAGCCAGCTGAAGAAGTGGAGCCAGCCAGGGATAGGGGACACAAAAGCAGATTCCGGCACCAAGATCCAGCCCTCCTCAAGCCGTGTCCTTCGGCAACACCTTTGGGTTGCCTGGCCCTCACTGGGCTCCCCCCCAGAGCACAAGCTCAGGATAAAGACCCTAATGTGTCCTGCGGTAAAGCTCAGCCACTTGCTGCCAGGGGAATCCTCCCTGTGGCGCTGACCACAGAGATCGACCGGTTGCCACAGATCACCCCCATGTTGGACCAGGGGCCAAAGGACTGGGAAGGGACCCCCAAGGTCTAGATGGCAATGGGTAGGGAGAGGGGAACAGGGGGACAAGGTTCTGCTGACCAGGGCAGGGTGGAGAGAAGGACTGGGGAGGAATGGGCACTCAGAGGTAGGATGGGAGGGAGAAGATGGGACAGGATGGGATGGGATGGGATGGGATGGGATGGGATGGGATGGGATGGGATGGGATGGGATGGGATGGGATGGGATGGGATGGGATGGGATGGGCAGATCAGACCAGAGTTCATTGTGATGACCACCAGGCTGGAGTGCTGGGCAGTCCCCGCCTCCCCATGCCAGCAGACCCAGACTGTAGTAACCCTGCCAGCACCCTGCCAAGGTCCCTGGGGAAGAAACTGGGCAAAGGGTCTGCCTGAGATCCCCAAGACACCTGCCAGATCCTCACCATCCCAAGGGATGCACAGCTGAGATCCTGCACATGCCAGGGGTGCAGGGGACGCTGCTGCAGCGCTGCTACCACCCTGCCACATCCTCCCCCATGCACTGGACCCCTTAGAGCCTCTCGCCCCGCCGGGACCTCGTGCCGGCCGCGGTCCCTGGGGACACTGGCCCCGCAGCAGGGACAGGGTGTGAGGCCGTGGCGCGGGGTGAACGCCAGGTTAATCTCCCGCTGGAGCTTCCCTCTGCAAACAATAAGACAATGCCCGGCCGGGGCCGCCTGCGTAACCAGCGGCGCGGAGGGGAAGTTGTAATATTTGGATTTAGCACTCAGTAAATTAAGGAAGAAAAAAGGAAAAAGCACTGGGGGTAATCAGAGCGGGGCTGGCCCCGTGCCCTGCCCCACGGCCAGCAGCCCCGGGGGGCTGAGCCCAGCCTGGGGACAGCAGATGAACAGGCCCAGCAGCCCCGGGAGTCAGAGAGGCCGGGCACAGCTGGGAGAAGGACACATCCCTGAGGGCCAGGCAGAGGACAGGCATGTCCCTACCGTGGGGACACCAGCCTGAAGGGTCACGGCTTGGGTGCCCAGCAGAGCTGCAGGCAAACATCTCCTGCCACACCAGAAAAGGGATCTGGGCCAGGAGGTTATTTTAATCCAGATCTCTTCATGGGAAATAAAATCCTATTTCTGCAGCTGTGGTGGTTGAGCAGGAGAGGGCCCGGGGGGGGGGGGGGGCAGTCACCTCCAGCTGGCAGTGTCTGGCAGGGGGTGACAAAGGAGGGGGCTATCCCCTGGATGGATGTCTTCCCCAGCACAAGCCCTACAGGGGTGCTACCTCCCCAGGGCCTCACACCAGGGCCCACACTCCACCAGACAGGCACCATCGGTGCAGATGGGGCTCTCAGTGGGGATGGGGAAAGGGTTGCACTGCAGAGGACCCCTGTGGGTGCCTGGAGCAGGGACAGCACTGCAGGGCTGGGCTTAACCCCTCTGAAATGTGGTGGGGATGCTGGCTGCCCTCCCACCCTCCAGCAGCAGGGTGAGCTCACAGAGGTGAGCAGGACAGGGACACCCCAGGGGGCCAGTTTGGGGTTGCAGGGCTGGACCCCACCCTGTGGGGTCTGAAATGAGGTCTTAGGAGGGCTGTGTGCCCTAGGCAGAGGCGTCCCCCATGTAGGGACCCCATGGTGGGTGCGGTGCAGGGCTGGCAGGAGGGCTGGGACAGGTGGGGGAGAGGTGACCGCTGGCAGCAGCGGCACGGGAAGGCCTCCGGGCCGCGCGCCGGGAGCACATTTCCCCACAACAGGGGCCGTTATCAGCGGCAAATATTCGGAGCGGTCCCAGGGGGGGCCTCCAGCCCTTCCCCTCCACCTACCCCACCGCTCTCCCGCTCCGGCCCCACGTCAATGCCGCTGCAAAGGTGTCGGAACAATCGCCTGACAAAGAGCTATTTTTAGGGGCCGGGGCTTGGAGCGAGGATACGGCCCGGCCGCTGACAATGGGGGGAAGGGGGCCGGGCTTCCCCCGTGACCACTCGGCAGCAGAAGGACCTGTAAGATTTCCTCGATGACCCAGGCCCGTACAATACAAGGAAAGCGCGAGAGGGAGATACCCCCGCCAGGACGAGCTGCTCCTTTACCTAATGGGAGTGACCCGGGGTGAGGGGCTGCCAGGTTTGGGCCAGCGGCCTCCCATGGGAGAGA